GTGAACACAAATTAGTTATCATAAATCAGTTAAATGCGAAAAATTAGGTGTCTATTTACTTGTGACCACTCAGTGTATGTTCTCAGCTTATTCAAAAACTTTAGAAACGTGTATATAATTTCAAAATAAGAGCATTGGTCAAAAGTACGCTTAAGTAGTAGAACTTAAAAGTTGTAGTGCTTATAGATTAATGTAGAAGAAACAAACAGAATATTAAACTGAATTGTAATTTTATAATTTAATCAATTTATGTATGTTAATGTGTAATTGCTTTTTTTTTTACTCTAATTTACAGAGTAGTCTCCGAGGTCACAAAAATATTATTGGTTTAATAGATTCGAATATCACACATGTTGGAGGGGGGGTGTATGAAGTATTAATGCTTATGCATTATTGTAGAGGTAAGTTCATAACGTATGGAAGATTCTTTAGTAGATAAATCAAAAACTGCTTTCTATGAAACAGTGTTAATAATGGTTAACTGTAGAATTAATAATACTTGTTGTTGATACACATTTTTTTGAATTGTTTAATTATCAAATTTCTTTTAGATCCATAACTTTATTGGTTACAGTCTCCCTAATAACACACAAATCATGATAACAAATTGAAGAAAAAAAATAACATCATTGTTGCAGTTAATCTGATTTGTTACTGGTGAGGTATTCCATGTACTTTTATATAGAGGAAGGGTGATTTCTCTCTATTTTTCAGGCAGGTCTTTACACTGAATTTTGTAATAGGCAAAAATGTAAAACTACTCAATATGACATAATATGCAGACCCTACTGGTAGTGAATGGCATGAAAACATTGGTAATTCGAGTGTTCATTAAGATCTCAGAAACCTAAAATATATTTACATAATATTAAATAAGAAAATGTAAAAAATGATAGAAATATCGTTCTCAAACAATCATAATTTTTTTTTATCAAAGATGTATATTTCCTGTACACTGTGTATCATGACTGTACTAAGAATAATAAGCTACAAGAAAATTCAAAAATATCAATTGGTTTTCCTAAGTAACTACATTATGTATATATTTTAGTTAATCTTTTGTGTCTGTGGCAACTGCTGCTAATACAGTAATTGAAATTATGATTAAATTGAGTAATGTCACAAAAATAACACAGCCTGCAAATAAAAGTTGTTTTGGTATTTATAACAGATTTTCCATCATTCAGCTATACAGATTTCGAAAACAATAATAATTTTTTCTATCTTGTAAGGATTTTTTGCAAATCGAGAAGAAAAAATAAACTTATTTAGATCAAATTATTATATCATTTACCACAATGAAAATTTTTTATTATCATGTTTATTAACAAAAATACAAACAAACTGAAGAAAGGGGAAGAACACTGATGGCAAATGATCTGCATCTTCATTAATCCTTCTTTTTTTTTTCCTTTTTTTTGTGAAATCTATGTCTTTTTAATCCCAAAATTATGGGTTGTGGTCTTTCTTTTCTGTATTGCGTCTGGAGCATCTCGTTTCAATGACCAGCAGTAATCAGCCATCATGCTGATGCACCACCTTTCCTGATGTCTTGATAAAACCTTTCCCCTTGTTTTTCACTGATGGAACTGAGATTTTCAGGGAAATGGTCAATGTGTGAGTGTTAGAAATGAACTTTCAAGCTCATATTACAACCCAACTTTTTGAATTTATCGAGCATGTTATTGACAATATTTTCGTAACTTGGGTCCTTGTTGTTTCCTAAAAACTTGTCAGTAACATATTTAATGGCAATACATGCTTCTTTTTGAACTTTTTTCATTTTCCTTTCTAACTGCACATCCAAAGTCAATTTCCTAATCTGAGGCCCTCGTCTTTAAGTTTGACTTCTGAAAGAGCTGGGAATTGCCCACATAGATATTTGAAACAGTCACCATTTTTGTATAAGGCCTTTTCAAACTGTTTCATCAAGCCCAGTTTTAGGTGAAGCGGAGGTAATAGGACTTTCTTTGTGTCAACCAAACTTTAATATTCAATGTTTTTCGATCCTGGTATCAGGCTGACTCTACGTGGCCATTGCTTCTTTATCCAGTGCTGATTTTGTGCTCTGCTGTCCCATTCACACAAAAATCATGGAAATCTTGTATAACTGGATTGCTGACTCAACAACATTCAAAGGACTTTTATGTCTCCACAAAGTAGCCAATTATGTTCTCTGTATTTGACCTTATTAAGAAGAAATTTGAGCCATTGCTTCTTTATCCAGTGTTGATTTTGTGCTATGCTGTCCCATTCACACAAAAATCATGGAAATCCTGTATAACCGGATTGTTGACTCAACAACATACAAAGGACTTTTAAGTCTCCACAGAGTAGCCATTTATGTTCTCTGTATTTGACCTTATTAAGAAGAAATTTGAGATTTTCATACGTTTCCTTCAAGTGAACTGAATGAGCATTGTGAAGTAGAACCTCTTTTAGACTTCTTTTGGAAGAATCAATGAACAATCTCCTCTCACTTGGTTCATAAACTACAGCTCCTAGCTATTGGTATTAATTCAACAATATTGTTGCAATAAACCAGTGAACATTCATGTGATAAGTATGGTATAAACTCTTTCTCATGATTTCTGTACCAGTAAAATGATGTCCCTGGAGAAAATACGTTCTTAACCCGAAGTCTGGACCCCAAATTCTCTGAAGAATCCTTTGGAAGGCCCAAATCATTAAGTTCACTTTGTATGAAAAGTTGTGGTTCACCAGACATTTCAGGTTGAAAACAATCCCTATATTCATTTCTATTGGCATAAGATTCAGAATCAGATGAAACTGTATCAAGAGTCTCTGGTATAGTAGGTACATGTTCATGAGCAACAGATCTTATAGCAGATTGGAGGTTTAGATAAGAACTTTCCTTTTTATTTCGAGTGTTGTAGCATTTCATGTTATATGAGCAAAAATAGCAGTCATCTCCATGGTTTCTAGGCTTACACCAGACCACTGGAATTCCAAAAGGCAAAGACTTTTTCTTACCTTTAGTCCATTGTCTCAACTCTTCGACACAAACGGTGCAAACTATGTGCAGAGCCCATGATTTGTCTTGGTTCACAAGTTTTATTCCAAAATATGCATAATATGCTTTTTTGACAAATTCTGTAACGTTTTGCCTTTGTTTCTGTACAACACACTTACCACATTTTGAAGGCTCGCATTGTATTTCAGCTGATATAAAGGCTACTTTCAGTCT